AGGTTTAGCATGCTAAGCAAATTGCTCTGGTGATTCGATGGGGTATTTGGGAGGAAGCGTACAGTAGGGTGCCCCGCATCTTATGTGCAATGCATTATTATAACCCTAACTTGAAATAGTTTGTGGACACCGGAGGGATGTTTTTTTGGGACCCATTGAGGCATGTCCTCTATCATGTGTTCTGGTCATTCACGCAAACGGAACATGCATTCCAGTTTTGTCGACCAGTCGTACTGGTTGATGGCACTTTCCTGACAGGAAAGTACAGGGGCACCTTGATGATGGCTGCTGTTGTTGATCCTGAGGACCAGATAGTACCCGTGGCTTTTGCTTTGGCAGAGGGAGAGAACAATGAATCGTGGTCATGGTTCATGCGGCTTCTACGTGTGCAAGTGCTTGGCTCAACTCGCACTATATGTTTGATCTCCGACCGTCACACGGGGCTTCTTAATGCTGCAGCTGAGCATATAGATGGGTTCCCGCCTCTAGTACATAGATGGTGCATGAGACACTTTGCCGCTAATTTCTGATGGTGTCAGCGGAAGCAGGAGGTATGTGACAAGGTAAATGCTCTATGTTGTGTACGTACAGAGCACCGGTTCAAGGAGACAAAGAGAGAACTAGACAAGATGGTAAATGTAGCGGGAAATGCCTGGTTAGAGGCGCAGATGGAACAGAAGGCTCAGTTGGCGTTAGCATATGACTAGGGGGGTTTTAGGTATGGCATCATGACCACTAACTCCTCGGAATCCTTCAACTGTGTATTCACCGGAGTTCGATCGTTGCCTGTGTCTGGAATTGTTGAGTTCTCCTTTCATAAGTGCAACGAATATTTTGTGAAGAGGTAGGAACTTACATAGAGGAATAGAGTTGAGCAGGGACATTTTGGAAAGGCCAGAGCTGAACATTTGAAGGAGGTCAAGGAATTGGCCAAGCAGCACATCGCCGAGCCATATGGACCCCGCCGCCATATCTTTAGTGTACGGGGCAAGGGTGGCACAAGCTTGGGCGACGAACGTTATGGTGGACGAAACTACCGAGTTGATCTTGAAAAGGTAGAGTGCAGTTGCAACGTCCCTCAGATCATGCATCCCCCTTACTCTCATATGATCACGGCCTGCAGGGTTCGTGGGTACAACTATGAGGATCTGCCATATATGTCACCCTTGTATCTCCGTTCGAACACTGTTAGTATTTGGGAGATGAGCTTCGAGCCATATCTTGACCCGACACAGTGGCCACCTTATAATGGTTATGACTACGTGTCTCATCCGGATCTAATGAAGGTAGGGAAGGGTAGGAGGAAGAAGAAGCGACTGAAGGAGGACATGGATGCTATGAGAGGGTACGGTGAAGACATGTACGGCGGGGGAGACTTCAACGAGACCCACTTCAACGAGACCCGTGGTAGGAATCTTTGCTCCGTTTGCAAACAATCTGGCCACAAGGCTAGCTGACATAGAAGACAACATGTGATTTCATATTGTGTTCGTATTGCATAATAAGTAGTTTAAATTTGGCAATGCTACATAATGTTAATCTAAAAATTGTTAATTTGAATACTCTAACCATTTGTTTATCATTTTGTAACAGGATGGCTCCTCCCACACCGCACCAGTTGTACCCCCTTCTTGATGTGGAGTACGACGACCCCCTTCTTCTACTAGACGATGAGGTTTCTAAGAGGCGTTCAAGGGATACTTACATTTCCTGGGACTTAGTTCATTACGTCGAACTTATGTCGAACAAATATTGTCATCAAAAACTTGTAGACTTATAAACCAATAAAAATGTTGTGTGGCAACTTGTCGTCCATTTATTTGCTTCATGTTCGTTTTGTACAACGCTTCTAGTTTTGTACAGCACCGACAACAACTCAATTGTAGTTGGCCGTTGTTTGTCCACGGCACTGCCGCGTCATGGTATATGGCGGCACTGACGCGCCATTTACTATGGCATGGCACTAACGCGCCGTGGCCTCTAGCGCGGCAGAACCATGGCTATGGCACGGCAAATGATTACGTTCATTTTAGAAAGTTTGAACGCATGATACAAACAGATGTTATCACTTAAGATCGATCATGGGTAATCCGAGTACATGATATATGGGTACAATACATCAGTAGTTCAAATGTAATATAAGACAACACAATAGAATTTCTACTACATAGCTACATTGATCATTAATAAAGCATGGAACAAACAGACGGCGCAATAAAAAACCCTCAGTCAGAAACATACTGAGTAAGCAACTCGTCGTCCGAGTACCGATCCTCAACCACAAACCTATTGTTGTGGCTAGGGTCACCTGCATTGCGTTGATTTGCCTTTCGCCTGTAGTAAGTGGCCTCCGCTTCATCTGCGGCCTCTGCGGACTGAGTGAAGAACGTGTCGTCGTCATCCTCTGCCTACAAGCCCGCCTCTGCTAGAGCGATGAGCTCGCTCAGTCTGGCAGTGTTGTCCTCAGCCTCCTCCGTCTTCAAGCCCACATCTGCTAGAGCGATGAGCTCGCTCAGTCTAGCAGTGTCGTCTTTAGCCTTATCCGCCTACAAACCCGCCTCTGCTAGAGCGATGAGCTCGCTCAGTCTGGCAGTGTCGTCCTCATCCTCATCCCCCTCATCAGACAATACAATCGGTGATTCAATGATGCGACCAGCTCGCTTTCTGTGCTCATCTAACTTATTTTCCTCGTACCTTGCATGAGCCACCTCTGCAGCATGGTCCTCACTACATCCAATCCCTTCATGTATAAAATGCAATCGGTTAGCAACGCGATTATATTATATTTAAAATAAGATAACGAAAAAAGGTTTTCAAGCACTCACTGGCACATAATGAAACAACATGGTCGTTCAAGACCTGCATCTATACTCTTGTCTCCTCCCTTGCCTCCTTCCTTGCCCTCTCCTCCTCTAATGTCATCCGTCTCTCCAATCCCCATTTGACAAGCCCAACGTCGACCGGGTTACAAATACCGTGCTGTCTAGCAAACTCACGCATCTTGTCTTTGTGATGTTTAACGAAAAGGTTGACAAAGTCAGGTCCATATCCCCTCTTCCGTGCAATTACTTGCTTCTCCTTCAGTTCATCCAACAACTTAGCTTGACCATCATAATGTTCCCACCTATATTTCCTTGTGCTCTATTCAAACAATATATTATATCATATATGCCTTAGCAAAAGAAATAAAATACAATTTCATGGTTACCACAAAAATAACCAACCTCATCATAGTCAATCATATGCCCGCAATAATGGTCTATTCCAAGCTCCGAATGGACTAGACCGTAGTTGGATGTAACACCACATTCACACTTAACTGGTGGTGCTTTATAAATTAACATTTCTTTCTTCTTTTGTTTTGCTTTTGGATGTTCTTCGGGCCATTTGTTCTTAGGACCATACAACCACTCCTTGAAATGACACTTCGCCATTGAATACACCTAAATAACGTGACATTAGTACATGACACATATAGCTCAATATTTCAACACATACACTTTGCACTTACTTCATGCTTGTTTGGACACACAAACTCCAACGTATTGTCAGAGTTTATCACGGCTCGATCTCCGCAATGGCACAGAGAAGGTTACTCGAGTCGTCTAACTGTGGCTAAGTGTTTCTCCTTAGCCGTCATTGGAGGGGGGTTAGGGGAAGGTGGAACCCACCGCTCAAAGTGCTCTCGTGGATGTCGCCCTCTCCACTAATCGTCGAAAATGAGGTACATTGGGTCAAACTTGTCTGCACCATTGATCCACTGAAAGAAAAAGCACCTCTCATGGTCCTACACAATAAAAATTCAATAAAATATTAGTAATCTAGTAATACAAATGAAAAAAATATACGGAAACAATTACTTACATTAAAACGATTGCACGTGTAGAAGCAACGAGCCGCTGTGTCTGGATGTCTCGATTGAAACACGTCGACCGGATGACCATAGTCACAATTAGGGACAGGGAGTTCAGGAGGGACGGGTGCATCTTTGCTAGACTCGTTGAGGTACATTTCTCTAGGACGACCCCGTTTTCGCCATAACTGCTCCCGAAACATGTCTTCCATCTAATAAAATGGTTCAAATTAAACATCAATGAAAACAACGCAAATTAATGTAAAATGTAATCATTTGCAATGCAACTAAAATATTATAACCAACAATTATAGCAACAAAAATATATATGGCAAACATACTTCTAACTAAATAATTAATCTTAACATTGACAAAATCAAACTAATATCTTCACCATTCAAACGAAATGTGTCATTACCTTGAACGAGGACGAGGAGGGAGGGAGGCGGCTGGGGAATGGAAGGGAAGGGAGGAGGCGACAATGGAGGGCCGGGCTACCGTCATTCGTGGCGCGGCGGCCGGCGTGCTTGGCGACGGGCGGGCGTGGGAGCGACGGCTAGGTGGTCTTGCTGCTCGGGCAGCGGGACTAGCCGCTGGGTTATACCCGGCTTTGCCGTGCCACGGATCGAGTAGCGAGCGCAGCTGCGCGCCAAGATTGGTGGCGCTGACAGCCAGGCCACCGCCACGTCGTGATCGGCGTTCGTCGCCGCCACGTCGACATTGGCGCGCCACCATGCATGGCGCGGCACGCCAGGGCAATAAGCGCGGCTAAAAGTGTTAGTTTTTAAAAAAAAACGACAATGTTAGATTCAAAATTAGTTTAAAAAGTGTTAAAATATAAAAAAAAAATCGCGGGGGGAGGGGGAACGCGACGGCGTCCATTGCGCAGGGGAGCTGCGTTGGTCGGTGACGCGCAGGGCATCTGTTTGTGCGGGCGGCCCACGCCACCACGCCTGCTTACGGGCTTGTTGGGCCGGTATGGCACTGCCAAACCTCCGTCATGCCGTCCTGGGCCGTCAGCTCAGCTCGCCCCCGACCTGGCCTCTCTCTCCGCTCCGGCAGCCGCCTCCACCTCCTCTTTCTGTTGTGTCTGTGACGCGAGCACTTGAAGATTCGCGAAACCCAGCGCGACCCGACACCCGCAGCTATGGCCACCGTCCAACCCCAATCGCCAGCGGGCCCCGCCCCTTCTACCCCGCACAAGGGGCGGCATGGTAACGCCCCCAATCCGCCCGCCGCCTCCGGCGAACCCCCCGCCGCGGCGGGTCCGGGCGGCGAGATCGCCGCGCTCGACAAGCAGCTCGCCGTCGGCGGCGAGGAGAGGAAGCCGGGTGGAGGCGCAAGCGCCGGCGCACGCGGGGGAGGGAAGCTGGTAGCGGAGGCCATGCGCAAGTACGCCGCGCCGCGGTCGTCGCGGTTCCACGGCGTCACAAGGTGCGGGCTGGCAACCCTGGGGAATAGGGGGGCGGTACTGCCCGTCCGGGTGCCTCTCGTTGTGCTTTGGATTGATTAGGTTGTTCGCTGCTGCTCTGGCCGCAGGCTGAAGTGGAGCGGCAAGTACGAGGCGCACCTCTGGGACAACACCAGCCAGGTCGAGGGCCGCAAGCGCAAGGGCAAGCACGGTATGCGCGCTACCAACCTCAACTCCTAGCTCTAGCTCACTGTAAAGTCTTCTGAATGTTTCAACCATTGTTGTATATATGAGATGAAACCAACTCTGCAGTTTAATTAGGTGTGTCAATGCCATGTACTAAACGGCAGGATCAGTTTCCAGATTTCATTTATTGGGTAAAGTCTAATTTACATCCTCCAACTTTCACCAAAGTCTGGATTTCAACCTCGAACTTCAAAACCGGACAACTTTGTTTCACACGTGATGAGACTCAAATTTTAAAAAATAGAAAACCCTTCAATACGATGTCGGATGAAGATAATTTTTATATGTAAATTGTAGACCTCGATGAGATCTACAACTTTATAGTTTTAATTTTTTTCATTTGAGGACAGTAAGATGCTCGAAAAAATAATATAAAATTTCAGCATCATATTTTATCGCGTGATGAGACTCAAATTTCAAAAAATAGAAAACCCTTCGATACGATGTCGGATGAAGATAATTTTTATATGTAAATTGTAGACCTCGATGAGATCTACAACTTTGTAGTTTTGAGTTTTTAATTTGAGAACGTTAAGATACTCGAAAAAATAATATAAAATTTCGACGGCACCCAAAAATATTAAAAGTTACTGTTCATCCACGAAACCGCCCAAAGGTTGAAAGTTGAACTTTTTTAAGAGTTGGAAGGCCAAAGTTGTCCGGTTTTGAAGTTCGAGGTTGAAATCTGGACTTTGGTGAAAATTGAAGGGTGTAAATTGGACTTTACCCTCATTTCTTTTTGCTTTTTGCAGCAGAGTAGCTAATCAGTAGAGTACATCATATTCCTGGCCTCTTTCATGGTGTCCTAATTGCACCTTCAATGCAGCAACTACAGTTCAGCAAGTCACCTAGTATGCTCTATCCTAATTATACCTGTAAAGGAGGATAGACCATGATGCTAGGATAGTATTTTTGTGTTAAGAAAGTTAGTGCCTATGGATGGGTGTATCAGGTGCGCCGTCAATCTTGTATTCGTGAATGGTTTATCGATGTTCTTTTTAATTTATCTTTGAAATAGGATATATAGCACCCCAAAACTTGTGCTTTATGAGGTGCATATATTGTGCTCAAAGTTATGTTTAATCTTTATGCTTGTCTATCAGAAATGTTAATCGCCATAATAAGGTGTAAATAGGTCACAATACAAGACGAATAAGATGCTTAAAATGCATTAGGATTCATGATATCAGCATATTCTCTGGATAAAGAGTCATTCTCCTAATAGCACATCCAGTCACGTCCTTAATTTTCCAGTCTTCTTAAGCTGATCCTTCATTAATTTGTGCATGGAACTTGGTTTCTACTCTTGGCTGCTGTTTGGTCTTCAGTGTACTTAGGTGAGTGGTGCTACTCATGGAAGGGGCTCATTTGGAACACAAAACTGCTCAAGTTTTAACTTCTTTTCTGGCATTACAGGCAGCTATGTTACTGAAGAGCAGGCTGCAAAGGCACATGATTTGGCAGCCCTTAAATATTGGGGCACAGGTCCAAACACCAAACTGAACTTCAGTGTAAGATTTTTTTTTCTTGATAATTCTGTGTAAGAAGTGAATGTTGCTTAGTGCATACTGATATGTTTAGGAACTAGCGTATCTTGTTCAAGAACTGGGAAAGTAAATTGCGTTAATAGCTTTTATTTATTATCAGATTTCTGACTATGAGAAAGAAATCGAGATTATGAAGACCATGTCTCAAGATGAATTTGTTGCCTACATAAGGAGGTCAGCGGTACATTCAAAAATTTATATTGTAGTACTTATATGATGTGACCTTTCTTTTTTATTGTCATGATTTATTGTTATAGGCAAAGCAGTTGTTTCTCAAGAGGTACTTCATCATACCGGGGTGTAACCAGGTGATGTTTCTTCTTTGCTAAATGAACTAATAACCATTTGATATCCTTTGAATGGAGCAAAAAAAAATGTTGTGCTTAACTATGGACGTCTGAATGGTCTGTTGCAATTTTGCAACTTTCTCTAATCACTTTTTTACCAACAGACGAAAAGACGGTAAATGGCAGGCACGAATTGGTAGGATTGGTGAGAGTAGAGACACCAAAGACATTTACCTTGGGACTTTCGGTGAGTTATAGTTTTCTACCTTGTTGAACTTCCAAAGTTTTTCTGAATGATAGTCACTAGGCACTATGAGCTTGTTTCTGTCAACTAAAAACTAAAAAGCTACAGTTGATTGATGTTTCGTGCGAAATTATCCTTAATTAAAATTGGCCATGGCTTGCAGACACTGAAGAAGAGGCGGCTGAAGCTTATGACATAGCAGCAATTGAGCTTCGGGGTGTTCATGCCGTTACCAACTTTGACATTAGTAACTACTGTGAAGATGGTTTGAGAAAACTAGAAGGCCCGTCAGAAGTGGCGAAGCTGGAAGGTCCATCTGAGGTCATGAAGCTCGCTGGACAATAGACACTAGAAATCTAGAATAGAAACATGTACATTATTTTTCCATTTCATTTCATTTGTCATAATATTTCACCCTCCTTTTGGTATTCCTGTTACCTTTTTTTTCCCCCTTTCGTGAGTTTTCGCCGCGCCTTGTTGTGTAAGCCAGTATTTACTGGCTCTGAAGGACAATGTGATGTTGTATTCCAGCCTCACCATAAGGTCTTACTAACCTTTGATGTCACTGCGAAAGTTACAATGTTGTAGCTTGTTGGATGGTTGTTTTTGTTTAAATGTTCTTGCATGCTGTTACTTCCACTGCTGTTCAAGTATAAGCGTTCATACTTTGAAAATGATGCACTGTATACACAATAAAGTAGTAGGTAACCTGCACAGCTACATCAGCCAAGTTGATGAGGCTGTGCAGCTGCAGCCGAAACAGCCGCAGCAAGCTGAAAGCCTGAAACGAACGTGTAGCCAGATGCTCAATTTTATTGTTTCGTGTTAGACAACTTGGAAGAGAAAACATCATCAGAATTGGCCACTGCAACTATATGTCCATTCGTGACTAAAGCAATATTGCAGCACCTATATATATGATCCATCCATGAACGAGGTAGCAGGCTAGAAATGACCAAATTATAAATTGCCCAACCTCTCCTTGTGAAGAAAGAAAGATGCCATCACCAAATGGAGATGGTACCCCTTTCAGCACAACCCAAGAGAAGGAAGACATTCTTTCCAAAGCTGCTGCCGCCGCTCCTCCCAAAGCTGCTGCTGCTGCCATCCTTCCTCTAGTGTCCTCTCCTCTGCATTAGATGTTTCTGTTCAAGGTCGTTTTCATGGCGTTACCCACAAAGCCGTCCGTTTCGTCCCCTCTGCTTATAATAGCACTAGGCTGCACGTTGGATTTGGGGCAGGGCTCAAATGTTGGTGCCTGAACTTTCTCTCTCACAACATTTTTTTTTTTTGGAATCGTTGCTTCCGATTTTGGGATGCAGATGAGAACCGATTAAGAAGAGGCAAATATCAGATGTAAACCAGCGAACGGGCTCAAAATGTTGTGCCTGAACTTTCTCTCTCTCTGTTTTTTTTTTTTGCCCTTTTTTTTTTGAATCGTTGCTTCCGATTAGCTGCGCATGCCCTCATGGGATGCAGATGAGAACCGAATAAGAACGCGTCGAAAGAAGAATCATTGGGCAGAAGAGGTCACACAGCATGACGTGGCACATGTCAAAATTTTCTTTTCGCAAATACAATTTACACCACTCCATACACAAGTTAAAGAGCAAACTCAGCAATTCTCGATTGTGGCTTGATAAAAATTAAACAAGAGAAAAGTCAGAGTCGCATTTACTTTCAGGCTTCACCACACGAAATCCTCACGTTATAATATAATGTTTAAAAAACCAAACTAACTTGATGCATGGATATTTCAAAAGATCCATTGCTTGGAGAGCTAGAGAGAGAAAAAAAAAGGTTACATCACTTATTTGCACTAGTCCATCAACCCGTGCTCCCGCATGCCTAATATTTTTAGAAGCTATTGTATTTGAAAATTATTTAGAAATTAAACTTCTAGCTAATAATCAAAATTGTTTACCTACTACTCTCTTATTTTTCAATACTTCAACATAATAGTTATATAGATATGTACCTATCTTTGTCCAGTTGTGATTAATTTTTAATTAATAATTACTCTTTGTTGGTTTTCATCCATATTCGTACTTTTTCCATTTTGTATCACACCTCCAATCCTCCATACATTATGTTTAGCATAGAAATCTATATTTTTCATGGATTCCTCACATACATGTATAAATGGTCTAAATGGTGGCATTCATCATGTGTATATACTTTAACTTAGTATTTTTATATTAACAATGACATAAATGGGTATTTAGAATCATATATTAGTTTACTTTTTGACATTTTTGTATGATGCACATGAAGATAATTAAATTAATATTAGGTGTTTACTTTAGGTTATTTTTAATAACGACAAACGTGGGTAACATAGATAAAATTTTAGAATGACATTTTAAGTTATGCTTTATAATGATGTGTATTAGTAAATTGGATGAAGATTATGGGGTTACTTTAGATTATTTTTTATAATAGCTGAGCTCGGTAATTTAGGTATAGGTTTAGAGCTCATTTTTGAATATTTTCACAATGACAGTGGTGGGTAACTTTTTAGAAAATATAATAGATCAATGGCTATGATTATTAAAGTTTACAGGATTGGTGTTTGATGTTTTTAATTTTTATGAGAATTTGTCTCTTTTTTCTAGCTTGTCTCGTGGGAACTAATGCGGAGTCTCCAATGGAAAAAAAAATGAGACTACATTGCTACAAAACTATTACCATAAGCTACCTCTCGTTTGTTAAATATTCGAACACAATACTTATGTAGATACATACTTAATATCTTCATCCAATTGTGATAGATTTTAGTTAGTAATTACTCTATAATATTTTCATCCACATTTATAATCTTTAACATTTCACTTTGCATCACAGCTATGCGCTTGAATTTGTTTAATGAACCCTAAGTTTGAGATACAATTTTAGCATAGAAATTTATATTCTCATCACTTTATATCCTTATAAATGGTGACACACATCATGCGTATAGACCTTAATTATTATATCGCATACCAATAGTGAAAGCAATAATGAAAGATATAGACGATTTAGAATCATATATTGTTGTATATTTTTAATTAAGGTTATTTGATTGTGTTATTTTTAATAATGGCATGTGTGGGTAATATATATGCAAATTTAAGGGGTTACTTTAAGTTTTTAAGTAATAGTGGTAGGCAATTCAGTTGCAAATTAGGGGGTTATTTTAAATATTGTTTATAATGGCATAAGTGGGTAATTTGGATGAAGATTAGAGGTTACTTTAGTTTATTTTATATAATGGCAGAGGTGGTAATTTATATATAGATTTAGAGGTTACTTTAGGCTATTTTTATAATGGCATAGGTGAATAATTTTTTAGAAAACATAATAGATCCAATGGCTACGATGATTTGAATCTATCGATTGATGGTCGGATATTTTGCTTTTTTGTGAGAATTTCTAGGATTTCTCTCTTTTCTAGAGTGTCCACTTAGAAATCCTAGGTGGCTTCATCTGGAGACTTCAAAAGGAGCCTTCAATTAGTAATAGTAAGATATGTTAGGTCGTGAATTGGTCAGTGTCCCTCTCTTTGGTCTAAACTAAACCAAAAGCCAACCCTTGTTCAATAATGGCTTCATCGATGCCGTCACTGACTATTCAGGTATCAGCATTGTCTCTCAACTCAGTCCAACTGTATGCAGAAAAAAAAAAAAAAAAAAATCAGTTGAATCCAATTCCAATTCGTAGTTATGAAAACTAGACCGGACCGGCGGTTGAACCGTTAAAAGACCAAACCAAGCCTATACCGGCTCGGTTCACTCAAAAGATTGGTCATGCAATCGAACCGTTAAAAACCAATCTAACCGGGCGGTTTTTTAGGAACCGGTGAACCGGCCGGTTCCAATCGAACCGGACTGTTTTTAATTCTTCACAAATTTACTCCTATGCCCACTCAGTTTTAGTTAGGCGAAATTTTTAAATGGAAATGTTATATAGATTTTCGTTGTTATTTAGCAGGCGTATCCAATCATATTCTAATTAGGCTATGAAAAGCTTCAATTCGTGAATTTGACGTCTAAACTGTGTAATTAGTTTTATTTTTATTTATATTTAATGCATATCATGGTGTATTAAAGATTCGAAATTAAAACTAATTGAATCTTGAAAAATTTTATAAAATTTTAACATTTTAAGCTAGCAATTAGTCAACGAGTGCAACCTTATCTACACAAGGGCATAAATGGAAATGTTTCATCTTTTCACGTGTACGTCACAGGCGCCTCAGATTGGGATTAGGTCACAGGCGCCTCAGATTGGGATTCACGCAACCAACGCACTCACGCGCCGCCGCCGTCCACCAGCTCCTGCCCTCAACCCACTCCACGCCGCAGCACGCTTTCCTGTCTGCTCCCCCCACCCGATCGGCGGATGCAGCGCCGCCCATTCTTCCCCTCCCCGGGTCGGCCACTTGCCGCGCCGGCCCCATCGACATGTCCCGGCACGTGAACGCCGTCAGGACGGTGCTCGGAGCTGGACCGTGGCATCGCCGGACGCGTGCGCTCCGGAAACCGCGGCCTCCAGTCATCGCACTCGAGAACCACGCACTCGTGTTCGACGAATCGCTCCCGCACTAGCTGCGCCCCGGCAACATGCCCCGCATCGCGAGCGCCGCCCGCGACTAGTGCCTGGAGCTGGAGCGCGTCATCGCCGGCCGCTTCAGCTCGGGAAGCATCAGCCTCAACGACGCCGTCAAGCTGTTCGATGAATTGCTCCCACTCGCCCGGCCCGCCTCTGTTCGCGCCTTCAACCAGCTCAACCAGCCTCACCGTCGTCTCTCGCGCCAAGGGCAGGGGCTTCTCAACCTCTGCGCCCGTCATCTCCCTCTTCAACCGGATGGCCCGTACCTCCCCCAACAAGGTATCTCCCAACCTATGCACCTACAACATCATCATCCGCAGCTTCTGTAGCATGGCTGCATGGGCCGCCAGGATTTCGCTTTCGCTGGCTTTGGCCTCGTACTTAAGATTTAAGAAGGACTTTGAATTTAGGGTGGATGCCATAGCCATCAATCAGCTTCTCAACGGTCTCTGTGGCGTAAAGAGGATGGGTGAGGCCATGGACGTTTTGCTCCGACGAATGCCGAGTTTGGCTGCACGCCCGATTCAGTCTGATACAACACGATTCTCAAGGGTTTCTGCAATGAAAAGAGAGCTCAGGAGGCACTTGAGCAGCTCCACCAGATGTCGTGGCATACAACACTGTCATCAATGGCTTCTTTAGAGAGGGTCAGGTGGATACAGCTTACAGCCTATTTCATGAAATGCTCGATCGGGGGATTTCACCTAATGTTGTGACCTATACCACAGTCTTGATGGCCTATGCAAAGCTAGAGCAAGGGCCGAGGGTGTCCTTCAGGAGATGATTCTTAAGTTTGTCTGATCAATGGATATTGCACTTCAGGACAATGGAAAGAGGTGGTTTGAATGCTCAAAGAAATGTCCACACAAGGGCAACGACCAAATGTTATTACTTATAATTTGTTGTTGGACTATCTTTGCAAGAATAGAAACACCACAGAAGTTAGAAAGATTTTGATTCTATAATTGAAAATGGCATACAAACTAATGTAACTACCTACAACATTCTGCTTAATGGGTATGCTTCAAAAGGAGATCTTGCTGATATGCATGATCTCTTAGATCTGATGGTAGCAAATGGTATTTCACCTAACCATCACGTCTTCAACATAGTATTGTGTGCATATTCTAAAGGTGGTATGATAGATGAGGCAATGCATATATTTGACCAGATGAGGCAACATGGGTTGATTCCTGATGCAGCCAACTATGGAGCATTAATAGATGTACTTTGCAAGTTGGGAAGAGTGGATGAGGCTATGGTTAAATTCAATCAAAGGATCAATGAAGTCCATAAGCTAGGGAGGTAAAAACAATGATATAAGGAGTCACCCCTTCATTGATCATCTGATTGAATTTAAGCATGGCCTCGTCCACTCTTCCCAACTTGTAAAGTACATCTATTAATGCTCCATAGTTGGCTGCATCAGGAATCAACCCATGCTGCCTCATCTAGTTAAATATATGCATTGCCTCATTTATCATACCACCTTTAGAATATGCATAGAACACTATGTTGAAGACGTGATGGTTAGGTGAAATACCATTTGCTACGATCAGATCTAAGAGATCATGCATATCAGCAAGATCTCCTTTCTAAGCATACCCATTAAGCAGAATGCTATAGGTAGTTATATTAGGTTGTATGCCCTTTTCAATTATAGAATAAAAAATCTTTCTAGCTTCTGTGGTGTTTCTATTCTTGCAAAGATAGTCCAGCAGCAAATTATAAGTAACAACATTTGGTCGCTGACCTCGTGTGGACATTTCTTTAAGTATTCGAACCACCTCTTTCCGTTGTCATGAAGTACAATATCCATTGATTAGACAAGTATATATATTAATGTCTGGCTTAACACCTTTAAGAATCATCCTGCTAACTGCTCCAGCTTTGCATAGACCATCAATGACTGTGGTGTAGGTCACAAAGTACCATTTTCTTGTGGATGTCAATAAATGAGCATTATTTCAAATGAATGGAATTCCAACTGTGTCAAGATATCTTTATGTGACACGCAAATTTGTTGGAGTAATTATGTCTGTCTAATGCACTGTCTCATGCTCTAATTTACTTGCCATGTTTTGTGGTCTCCTTTGTTTAGAGAAATGTTATCTTGACAGTGCTCTTCAGCATCAAGTTTATCACCAAGTAAAATTATCTTGTTTTCAGTTCCAGTTATCTTTATAACAAGGGTCAATTTACAAGTTAATGGGTGCCACAAAGTTTGGATGCTTTTTGTTGCATAATTTGTTAAGAAATCCTGCACTCTTGACTCCCAAGTGTAAAATCAATTATAAGTGTCTACTGTTTGCAATTCCACAGATTAGGTAAATCCAATACTATCGTTCTATGGATTAAGAGATTAGAAACAGGCTCTAACAAGAATAATTGTTTGTTTTGTGTTGGATTTGCCAACTTGGACATGTTTTTGAAGGTTTGTTTGGTAGGTTTTTGTTTTCTGTAGCTGTGCCTGCACTGGTTGCTGGTGGGGAGTCTATGGGGAATTACCTCGGAAAATGCAGGAGTATTCTCCATGTGTTGCGCATATTATTTGTATTTACGTATTCCACCACCCTCCATAGGTCAGGCCTTCCTGTAATTTGAAGATATTGTATATGTGCTTATGGGATGTCCCTGACATCCATATTTGCATGGGTTGCAGTTCCATGTCCGTACAAAAGAGCCGTGGAAGGTCCCAGTATGTCTTTTGGCTTTTGGTTGGAATTTAGAATGGTTGTAATACCATAGCAATGAACTGAGATTTTTGTGCTCTGCGAGCAACTGCAGTTTCAGTTGCAACAGAATTCATCAGGAGAATGAAATCTAGAGCTCAAGTGAAACAGTATTATTACTAGCATAATCTAAAATGTGAAAACTGTATTATTCACTGGCATAAAAAGCTTTTTGAAACTTCAGCTGAAAGAATGCACGAACTTTGGCTCCAAGCTTGGCCAATACATAACATTGTAAAGAGTTTATAATAACTATATTTGATCCCAACTGCTCAAATACATCATCAAATGATCAAAAGTTCAACAGAAATTCCAGTTTTATAGTACAAGGTCGGTCGTATGGCCATGGAATCCAAAGCACCAACTCTAAACAATTTCCTGGTAAACTACCCTACTCATTCTTACGTTTGAACATCCGAATCAGATAATGAATTAAGGACACCAGCCACTGCCAGAAAATAGGGAGGTAGTTTGCCTTCTTTGGTTTCACTTCAGGCCTTGGCCCAAAGAGACCTTTGTATAGCTCTTTCTGCTTTTGGTACAGAACCTTGTCTTGTTCTGCGAGCAACCGGAGCTCCCAAAGGATCTCCTTGTCTTCTGGGGAGTATTTCTTCGCTTTCAGGAAATCCTCCCTGGCCGATTCTGTCTGGCCAAGTTCAGATTTAGCTTTTCCTCGCCTGAATAGTGCTTTCACGTTACTTTCGTCCTCTGACAAGACCTGAAGAATAAGATAACGGAAAGGATTGGCCATCAAATCAGTAATTTTACAGACAAAGGGTTTGCAGTAGGAACATGGGATTGTCCAATTGATTATTGATCAATCATCATAAAATCAGCACTTTTTAAAAAAAAAGCTGAAAAAGGTGCAAAATCAGCTGTTTGATAACTCTAACGCAGAACCTTGCATGTTGATACCTGAATTCATGTAGGCCACATGAGCTTTGTTGCTTAAACAGACGTGTTTTTACCGCCGGAACATAAAATCATGTATAGTTTATGTGAAGGTCTACGCAAACTAGAAAAATGCACTCATGAATGTAAATCATGCATTGAAGAATGAGTTTTCTCATGGGCGTAGTAGAATAACATACGATGCTACACTGCACAATAGCTTCATTGAATCTATTTAGTTTGATAAGGCACGCAGCCATGTTGAGGTGACATGGATTTTTCACAGCCAAGGCCATGTCTCTGTACTTCCCAAACAATTGAAACATGAAATCGTCACCCATGTACGCAATTGCCTGTAAAAAGGAACAAAGTAGAGGACTGAAATCAGAATACTGCAAAGAACTATAAGCATGCCAAAAGTGAAGTATGCCACTAACCATTTCATATTGCTGCATGGCCTCCTCAAGCTTCTTTTTTTTGAAATATTCATTGCCTTCAATCTTTCTCCGGTCTGCAGCTGCAATCCTCTCCTCAACTGTCATGTCACTTCGAGCTTTCCCCTGATTCACAGTTAGTCATGATTTGAAAGTTCCCAACTTGAGGAAAGCAAGTAATGCTAATCAATACGAATAATATCAGCCTACTCTTCAAAATAATAATGATTAAAGCATTATGTGGGGTGGAGGTGGGAGAGCTTTGTTTCTCTACCTCCTTGATATCATCAAATCCAATAAGTTCAACTTCATAAACAAGGTCTGCCATTGGAGGGACATTTGGGAACGAAAAGCTTCCTTCTTTGCCATAGCCTAGCTCCCAACCAACATGCAACAATGCACACTCCCCGCTTCTCATGTTGCCAACACCAATGCCTAAACCAGACATTTCCTTTTTCTCTGTTGATGGAGTAAAAAGCTTTAGAAAGTTACTCCATAGGCGATTATCATTGATAAACACTGATGTACTGTTGATGATGCCCATATAATTCTCAGGTTATTTACCCATACCTGTAGGCTTGCTGAGCAATGCAACATAAAAAGGTACAAATCAGAAATGAGTAATGCATATTTCACTCTTTCATCTAGCAACACATTAACCAATTAATAGCAGGCATAACAAGTTACTGGCTGGATAACTGGCTATTCAGATCCTCATTAAGAGTCATCATCATTGTACTAGAAAACCATAACAGCATGCAAACGAAGCTGTTTAAATTTATGGAGTTGATGGATGAAATTGCATGCAGCCGAGCAAAGCTGAGTATAAAATAAGTGAAAGTGATTTTTGTGGCACCTTTTCCAAGTACTAGTTCAATTGGATGCTGTTCCTGCCACGTATCCTCAAATTTATGAGATGATCCTTGAACCCATGCTCTATAGTGCACTGCGACACAAGATTTAGAAAAGAAAAGGTTAATTCACTGCTGTTCTCCTTTGAAGCACTTTTGTCACGTTGCTAAATCATAGTACATGTGCATGCTCCCTTCCAATAGCAAAAGGATTGACGTGCGGTTACAGAATTAAGCAACTTTCAAAAAAAAAAAAGGGGGGGGGGGGGGGGATCAAATCTGAACTTTGAAAATTGACATAATCATTAGAGTACAAAAACAATAGGTGTTGTTACTCGATAGAAACGAGATGTGGAACACTTTTGATAAATAGAACATCAGCATTAGAGCAACAAACTGAATAGGTACCAGCAAAATATATTAGTACTCAGTGAATGCAAAAGAGTAACAGGAAGGCACAATTAGTATCAAATATCTAGAACTCTAGGCCTCCAGCCCTCCACTAGCTTACATGACAAAGTATTCTAGTGTGTTTGTGTTGAGAAAGCAGCCTATGTCTAGATAGTAGATACATGGAGAACTTGTCTACGTATTCCCATTTCAGTTATAAAAATGCTATTCGCATTGAAAGCAACCAAGGCCATTAGCATCTCATGATCATAATCCTGGGACTGGGAAAGAGAACGAAGTTTGATGAACATGTAAGTTATATGTGTTGCCCCAAACCGTTAGATGGGGGAAACAGCGCAAACAAACACAAACGGGATACGATTATAGAGTAGAATATATGGCTCGTGCAGTATATTATTCTTATGTAGAAAGTAGAAACCAACATCCCAAGCACTGGAACGGACCATTTATGCCATTACTCACCAAAGCACGTCGCAAACTTTAAGGGTCTCTTGCCATGGCCTTCTTTGATGACTTGTTTCTTAACTTTATCATGAAGAACCTCCATATCAGAGGAAACCACGGGTGGAGCACTGCCATCCTGGGGAGGTTCAGTATGCACAAAAGAGGCCTCTTCCACTGTTATCTCATTATCACTGGAGCCTGAGAATCAGAAAAAGAAGAACCAAGAGGAAAACAGAGATGAGGATTCAGAAATTGCTCGCCATCTCGATACAGAGTCCAATTTCACTATCTAGCCACATTACAATTCAGGAAACTGTCTGCAGCAGCTGTGAATAGCAGGATTCGAAACCGCCTCATTGTAAAGTAGCGGCCAGCTTGCTCTAATCTTCAAAGTCCCAAGTCCCAACAGAAAGCGCAGACAGATATCCGAAACAAAGAGGCTCAAGTGAGAATACCGACGAGAGGACAGGGAGCTCCACCTCCACGGAGCACTGGGCACGCGTGGCGTGGGTGGCGGAGAAATTGTTCCCGCGAGCGAGGAGGGGACTCACCAGCGGTGGGATCGGAAGCGGCAGCGGCTGCTGCTGCAGGCGCCGAATCTTCTTCGACGGCGGCCATCGCTGCGGGTGGCTGGCCGGGAAACGGCCGGCCGGCGGAAACTTCTAGGCTGCGCGGGTGGGGACGGATGATACCTGTACGCGCAGCGAAGGGCGAGAGAGGAGTGGGGTGGTAGGTCTCACAGTTTCTTGGGCCAAGAGCCCACCGTACCGGCCCACCAAGTCCAGTCCCAGCTAACAACAACCTTCACCCTGGGACAGAGGCCTCTGGACAGGAGCTTCAACTTGCACATCAAACTTCGCCGTATAAAATACAGACCATCACCAGGCACGAAATATAAAAGGAGCCATGCAGATCGAGCAGTGGAGGAAATATTGCAGTTTACAAATTCTTGAATCACATGCAGTGAGCTTTGGTCAAAAACCATTGCCAATTTCGCTGCCGCCGCTATATATTTACATCATTTTAATGTAGCGCCCCTAACACTAATAGCCTCCGCATGAAACATACGGTTTTCCTTAAAAAGCTGAACAGTCTTCTACCTCTGCTCAGCTATTCACCAACCTCGACATGTACAAACACGGCAGGGTGCTGCAGCTTCCTGCAAACTGACACCCACTATCCAGAAATGTCTCGCCATTCTAACACCGTGTTTAGTTGGGTGAAAGTTGGAAATTTGGCTACTGTAGCACTTTCGTTTTTATTTGACAATTAGTGTTCAATCATGTACTAATTAGGCTCAAAATATTTATCTCGCAATTTCCAACCAAACTGTACAATTAGTTTTTTTTCGTCTACATTTAATGTTCTATGCACGTATCGTAAGATTCGATGTGATAGCTACTGTAGCATTTTTTGAAAAAAGTTTTCGCGAACTAAACAAGGGCTAAGCATCCTACCTGATTGGTGTGTGATCAATCAACAGTGCCATCGCTCAGGATGACTTTGAAGCTTTGCTTTGCCAATGACCAGCTGCTGCATTTACCTTACCAGTTACCACCTCCCCCTTCAGACTTTCAGACAGGGAGCACTTAGCAGATCATCATTATCAGCCAGTGATCGGAGTTATAGTACCAGAAAGGGAAAGATTCTGATCTGTCTTGTATGCCTTTTCATGACGAGGGCGTATAGAAGCTCATTCCAGGCACCAGTGGCTGCAATCCTGTTTGTAGAGAGGGACGGGTCCTGAAGGGCTTAGGTACACGAGAGGTGGCCGTCTTTCCGCTGAGCTGTCATCTGTGTCACATTCAGCATATCCAATTCCAGAAAGCTTGGGTCTCAGATTGTTCCCTAGAACATCATTCACAGGTTTAAGCAGATCATCCCATTCTTCCAGCGATTCGGGTGGAGTCAAATCTGGAAGAGTTTCCAAGTGACATCTCCCTCCAGTCTTCCAGTCACCACCTCTGCATAATATATAGATGACTCCAGATTAAAGAAACAGTTTGACATATTCACTGGAAAACACATCTTAATAATGTATTTTGATATAGCTTTCAGAATAATGAATAGGAAAATATGAGTGCTGCTAAAGGCTTCAAGCACTTTTCACAGTAATATGATTTACTTTGAACATATCATAAAAGAATCTCAAACACTATCTGATCATTCTTGAGAAAGGAAATAGATGAGGCAGGTGATCACTGACTCACTGCTAACTGAGCAATTATACAGACCTGAAATGCACAGGAGCATATGTACGATAGATGACATGGGTCTTGCTTGTGTTAACTTCTCTGTGAAGCCAGTCGGACAATGTCTGTATTGATCTTCGGTATGCATCAGTAACAGTCATATCCATTTCCACCTCATCACCTTCTTGGAAGTAGGCACCCCTGATTTAACACATAACAGCAAGTCAGCTTCAAGTAGGCATAAGATTCAACTATGGTTATCAGAAAATGTGATGCTTTTTTTTTCTAAAAAAAGGTGTTATAAAGTATGATTTAACAGATTCAGGATCGCACCATTTTCTCCAATAGCTAACAGCAAATCATATATATGAATATATGCCATGACCTCATGGGTGTGGATAACTAGGTACTAATATTAAAGAATTCGAAGTGATGCCACATCACTGGTAAAAGTGTGAAGTACATTAAGTCTGAAATTGAAAGGTGAATTCTTGATCTTCATGATCACATTTCAACAAAAAAAAAAATTATAAAGAAATTAAACAGAAAAGGAACAATAATGAAAAAAAAATCTTGAATGTATGGATCAGATAGCTATTTCTCTACGAAATTACTGATATAAGAACTAACTGAAGGTGATACCACTGTGATCTTAATAAAGATCATTCACATCTAAAAAGAATTGTCGCCAAGTGAAGCACATAATACTACTAAGTCCATAATCCAAGAAGTTTATCCTTGCCCCCTTATTGTTTTCTCATCGTTCCACCAGTGCCCAGTGTTGAAGATCAATACATCAGCATCCTTCCACTTACCCCGATCAGACATCCAATCCATGGCATCCACTCGAATCGTGTACTTAACAATCTCAGGGGCTCCAGCTGGAGCATGACCTTGAAGGACTATAAAAGGGGATCTGTAGTATTCCACAGTGCAGCTGTAGTCTCTAAAGTTGAAAATCAAGAAACCCATGTGTTTTGTGATGGGACTCCCATTAACTTCATAGATTGAACTCTTGTTATGAACAGCAGTAGAGAGCATACAAAGTAGGGACTCCCATTGGTTCCTTCCAATCGAATCACCAACAAATACTACTGTTCTGTTCCTTAGCTTCTCCAGCATGCTTTTGGCACCAAATCTAACAAATCAAAGAAAGAATATGACCATGTGAGAAAAAATGGCATCGATTATGCTAGAGTGGTAATGTAGATCATCCAGATTGTTCTTCAGTCCTAAACCACAAGCACCAGACAGACATGATTTAGAACAAAGCCATGAACTTACAAACTACAAAGTGTGATGATTATAGGTTAACTTAAGTGGAAAGAAATTGATAATCCCAGTTATTCTTAGACTTCTTCGAAGGCTTTAAATTGCCACCAAAGGTTACCACTGTAATTCCTCTTTAATTTCCTCTATCATAATATGCAACCATTACGTATCATCTTTCAGTTTCAACACACCCTGAACATAAAACACATAAGATTCCACTAAATGTCACAAGCAGCTTTGTCTAATTTTTTTTTCATAATCAGCAATTCAAACTAAGGACGTGTTAACTGCGGCTAATGAATTAACAATGCTACCAATGATGATGCCAGCACCGTGGAACCAACATTGTCAATAGCACATGCAACCAACACCATCAGTCCCTATTTTTAGCTTGTGAACTGAAATACACGTAATGTACAGGTGGCATTCGATGTTGGGTTCAATTCAGAGATAAGGGACATAAGAACAAACCTTTATGTCAACAGAAACAGCTGAGCGTTACAATCAAAGATTAGATAGAGGTGCATAATACTATCGGGTCAAGAAATAACTGGACGAGGCCATCTTCCCATCACAGGTTGCAAGATGGCAATGTCTTGACAACTGAATAATTAAAGAATGAATACTATTTGATTAATTAATCTACCTTCTTGAGGACTAACTATGTGTATAAACATTGCCTTCTGACCGAGTGGCAGGCAAAGGGCATCGAGTTTCCAATCGCACTACACAGTCCCATGCTGAAGTGGTGTCGACAGCCTCGTGTTGCAATAATCTAATGGCAAATTGCGCATCCACCGATCCAAACCTAACTAATGACACGTACGGAGTGTCCTCCTGAGTACTAAAGGACCCTTGTTGGAAGTTGAAAGTTTGAACTAGCACTGTCAAATTTAGACTGGTTCGAAAAACAATGCAGCATGAAAATTCAACTGAGATGCCCAAGTCAAATTTTTAGACTGATTCAACTAACAATGCAGCATGAAATTTCAACTGAGATGCCCAAGTTTCTTCACTTCGACAAGCTTAAGAAATCTACCGCGAGTTCTGGAGACGCTCTAGTGGATTCTCAGCTACACCCCCGAATCCAGCAGGCAGACGGGGCAACCGCCAATGGAGGAAAGGAAGAAGCAAGTAACGAATCCAGACCAACCCACCTGGGGAGATCGCAGCGCGTCGGCTGCCACCGCCACTTGGTGTAGGACGCGTCGGGGCGGCCGTTCTCGGAGCAGCGGAAGCCGACGTCGAGGAAGGGGCAGTCCCTGGAGTCGTAGAGCGGGTATCTGCCATCGGCCCGCACCCACTCCCCGTCGAACAGGTCGCACTCCTCCACATTACCCGCCGCCGCCGCCGCCACCTTCCTTCGCGTTTCGCAGCCTCTGCCTCGGCCGCGATGGAGACCCCGCCGGCCCAGAGCCTCCGGGGCGCCGCCGCCAGCGCGCCCGACGAGCAGCGGAGCGAGGCGGCGCAGAGCAGCACCAGCAGCGCGGCCACCGCCACCGCCGCCTCCGGAAGCGGAACCAGTAACAGAATCCGACAGTGACTGGATTCCAATGTGAGAACCAGACAACCAGATTTCTCCAAGCAGCAAATGTTTAGGTGAAATTTCAGCAGTCTGTAACAATTTCTCTTTATAATTTCAGTATGCATACTTATCCTAAGCCGGTCAAACTAGTATTAGTCCACTAGCAACTTAGCAAGGTTGCTTATATCACTGGAATATAATGATGATACGCAGCTCTGCTGGGTATTCGAGAGAAAAAATATATCATTGGAATATGGACGAGCATCGCAAACCACGCTTTCCTCATGCTACCCTCATTGCAGCTTTGCTAATTCCCAAGAGGTCCGATGCATAGTTCAGACACTTCTAAACCAAGCACCAAACCTAGCTAGTCAAGCTTATGGGCAAATCGGACAGAAGTGAAAGCAAGGACAGAACTGAACTATGGTTGTATTCCGTTTCTGCCAAATCGGTTTGCATCAAATGCAAAGTATTTTCTATTACATAGAGGCTGCCTTAGCTTAGGCCCCTAGCAAGCATAAGATTTTGCTGTTCCTGTGTATTAGTTCAGAAGGATTAGCGAGATTAGATTACATATTGCTGAACTTGACTAAAAAATTGAATACATCCACTGTGAGGCTATGAGCTAA